ACCCACCTCACCTCCTCCCCTCCACACCCAGCCCACCTCCTCACCTCCCACACCCACCTCACCTCCTCCTCACCCTTCACACCCACACCACTACCTCACCCTATACAGCTGCCTTACCTCTCATGGCATCCAGGTCCTAGACAGTGGACCCAGATCACCTATATGGCTCTCTCATGGCCAGTCACATATGCTTGGCTCCCTCCTTTGATCATAACTCCTGACATCTCTGCATCAAGGGCCACACTTAGATCTACTTCCTAATCCTTGCTGGCATGGCCTCCTCAAAAGGACTGTATCCCACCATTTGTGTTGTGTGGCTACTCTCCTCCCCACCCCCACCCCCCACCCCCAGACGTGACCCTGTAAGAGAGGAAGCTTTGTTTTCTGATCTTTATCTGGGAAGGCCTCACACAGCTTCGTGCTGAGACTCCTGCTGCAGGATAGCAGGAGACACAGAGAGAAGTGGAAATTCCTATGCACATGGACATAGCAAAGGACCTGCCCAAGCCCTCAGACACAGAGCCACTGCTCCATATGGCCACATGCAGTCTTTACCCTTGACCGTCAGCGTGGCCGACGTCCTCTCCTGCCCGCACACGCACGAGTACTCCCCGGCATCTGCCACCGCAAGGCCATGGATTTCCAGCTCACACACGGCCCCGTCCTGCCTCAGGCTGACTCTGTCCCCAGCTCTGAGGGTCTCGAGCCCCTTCCTCCACTCCACAGGGGCCGCCTTGCTCAGCTCGCAGCGCAGCGTTACCACGGCCCCTTCCGTGGCCTCCTTGCTTCTCAGTCTTCCTATGAACTCCGCAGGCAGGGCTGTGGAGGGTCAGAGACTGAGAACCTCATCCTCAGCCTCCTACAGGGGATGAAAGATACCAATGGGGCTGCATGGGCAGGGCAGGGGCACTCGTACCCTTCACGGTGAGCGTGGCTGAGGTTGTCTGGTCCCCGAGGCAGCAGACATACTGCCCGCTGTCGCCGGGCTGCAAGTCCCGGACCACCAGCTCCAGCATGGTACCCTCCTGCCGCATCCTGTACTTGTCTCCTGGCCGCAGGACCTCATCTCCACAGCGCCACTCTACAGGTGCAGCCACCGTTGACAGCTTGCAGCGCAGTGTGGCAGCACCGCCCTCTAGCACCTCCATGTCCTTCAGGCCCTCCCGGAAGTGCACGGGCCGCGCTGTGGAAGGCACAGGCTCAGCTTGTCCTCACTCCTGCATGCACCTGGGGCTCCCCTACAGTTGAGGAGGGCTGGAGGGAGCAGCACGGTGCAGGAGGCCCACCTCACCCTTCTACATAGGGGGTTAGTGAAGGTGACCCTCCAGGAGGGGGAGCCAAACAAAAGAACAAAGAAGGGTGGGGTGTCATGAGCTGCATTGTGTCCCCCTTCACTCATTGGAGCCCCAACCCCAGGACCTCAGATGGTTCTGTATTGGCAAGTGGAGCCTTTAAAGATGTGATGAAGGCGAAGTGGGATCACTAGAATGGGCTCTAATCCCATATGACTGAGGTCATTATAAGAAGAAGAGATCAGGACACAGATACATACAGAGGGACGGCCAAGGGAGGACACAGGAGGAGATAGCCATCCACACAGCAAGGACAGAGGCCTCCAGGGGACCAGCCCTGCCCACACCTGGGTCCCAGACTTTCAGGCTCCAGGACTGGGAGAAATAAATGACTGGAGTTTGAGCTGCCATGTCTGTGGTATTTGTTACACAGCCCAGGCTGATGGAGATGAGCCAAGCCCAGGGGAGGGAGGGGAGATGTCAGAATACAAGACAAAGGGAGGAGAGATGTCAGAATGCAAGACCAAGTCAAGAATAAAGTACAAAAGATACTGGCAGTCAGGAGACCAAGAGAGGGTGAGAAAGGTTCTATTAGCAGCAGAGACTCAGACCCAGAGATGGGGAGAAGCAGTGAGGGGGGATAAGCTGTGGAGAGGCAGAGCCAGACGAAACACCCCCCTCCACACACACACACACACACACTCACAGACACCAAGAGGGCAAAGACAGAGAAGGAAGGAGCTGGGTGAGGTCTGGGGCTTCCCCTGCCCTGAAAAAGATGAGAGCGGGGGGAACACAGAGCATGGCTGGAAGCTGCCTGGTCCTTCCTGCCTGAGGGCTCACCGTGGACCCTGACGATGGAGCTGCTCCAGGCACCCGCAGCCTCACACTTGTAGCGCCCGCCATCCTGCAGGGTGGTGCCAGTGATGACCAGCTGGGCTCGGCAGCCCTCACGGCTCAGCTGGCACCGGGCCGACCCCCGCAGGGTTTTCCCATCCTTGGTCCAATGCACAGGGTTGTCCGGGACAGTGGTCTCACAGACCAGGGTCAGATCCTCCCCCTCCATGACTGTGGCATCCGTGAGCTCCTGGGAGAAGACACTTGGCTTCTCTGGGGACAGAGAGGGAAGTACAGGGCACATGGAGGCTCCTGCAGAAGCTCCAGGTGTCACTGCAGCCTAGGTGACACTCCAGGTCAGTACCCATCTGTCCACCTCAGCCTGAGGACACAGACAGGCCGGCCTCTGCATGGCTCCCCACACTCCAGGGGCATGGCCAGGCCTATGCCACGCTGACCATGGAATCAGCTCTGTATACCACGTGCAATGATGCATCCTGGAAACAGCCACACCCAGCCTCCCGAGCCCACCCTGGCCTCTAGGCCCAGTCCACAGCACCTGCTCTGTGAGCCCC